ATTTATTTATTTATATTTATTTATTTATATATGTATATTTTTTACATTTTTTTGGTGGACCCCCGAGCACCGGCTCGTGGATCTTCGAGGGTCCGGGGACCCCAGTTTGAGGACCACAGGTGTGCATGAACTGTTATCTTAGAGCTTCCTCATTAGCAAGATCGTTTCTTTGTTTTTTGGGGAGAAATGTTCTCTTAGAAAAAAGAAAGAAGGCCCTAACCACTTACTTGGCATTTGTTCCTTTTTCCTGTTGTAACAACACTTTTTTCCAAACCCATGAAAAACACATTAATACTCCATCCGATTAGCACCAGTGCTTTTATAAAACACAGTGAAACAATGTCTTCTTCACACTCACCAGGACAAAACGTGAGTGAAACACTGTTAACATGTGGATCTTTGCCCTTGCCACATCAGTTTAGTTTAAGGACAGCCTGAATTGCTTAGTTTTACACTTAAGGAAGTACGAATATGTTTGTAAAAGCACATGAGCATCTGATGCGTTCATGGCCCTCAGCATGATGGGGGTGGGAGTGGGGGGTGTTACACTGGAGCCTTTCCAGTTGCTGATGCATTACAGGCAGATTGGCCCCCAAATTGGATTATTTACTGTGGACTGACACCACACTGAGATGACATCTCCTTTAAAGTGGAGAGAGGGAGGCTGGACGGGGAGGGGGCTCCGCTCACACTCTGACCACTACTTAAGCACCAGCTTTGGTGTAATTCATTTATGGCCTGGATATGGCTGCAGCCTTTTGAATAAAGCAAGAGCAGTGTGTTTACCATTAGAGGAATGAATGTCACCTACATCTTCCAGAGGAGCATCCTCTACTTTGATAAAACTCCTACTGTACATCCAGAGTGATGGCTCTCCTTAATATTTCTCTCCCAGTGTACAATTAGTGTGTCATCTTGTGCTGTTGAGTGGATCATAATCCACTGCCACTTCTATCAGGTTTAAAATAGATCCTGTGTGCAGCAGGTAATTTAGCGTCACTTCTTTGTGCCTCTGCCCCTCCTCTCTCAGTCCGCTGCTTGTCATAAGGTTAGCACACCCTGTAATTGATACTAAATTTGTCATGATGTGGATGGCACAGTTCAAGTGCTTTAGTGTACCTAAGAGTGGCGTCGTTCCCATCCCCGGTTTGTCATCGCCGTGCCGCCACCAGTCCATGCATAAAATTAGACGGCCGGTGACGTGTAGCCCTTCTATTTATTCCACTCGTCCAAGTAAATAAAGTGCTTCCCCCCCCAATGCAGAACGGATTATTTTATTTAGAATGTAAGTGGTAAAGAAGGTGGTAAAAGTTAGTCTTTTGTGTGCTGATGTGAAGTTAATCTGATTTTAATTTAATTATACAAGTTAGTTGCGGAGGGCACAGGCATCGGGGTGTTTGTTGTAAGAATGTTCTGACATTGGCGCAGGTATGGGGCAGCTAGCATGTTAATTAATGATGAAGATCCTGACAATATGCAGAGGCATGACAGCGTTAAGCCAGTCGGCTGCTGCTTCCTTTGCATATTAATAGATCCTTCATTATTATTTAATATGACAGCTGCTCCAAGGGCTACCATCAGACCTTGTCTCTGTTATTTGCTGTTTTGTGCTCCCCATGTGACAGCACCGTGCTTTTCTCTGTTTGCTGAAATGCTCCCCTTTTTCCGGTGCGACTCTCTACATGATGCCCTGTTTGTTTTGCGTTCAGGAGGATTCTGGCTGGTGTGGGCTCCACCGTCAAAAAAGTACCTGAATCTAAAGGTGACTTTGAAAGAATATATGGCGCCGGATTGTTTTGTTTGCATAGTAATAAATGCAGATTAGCTTGAGTGGGACCGGCTGACGTTTAGACTCCTGCGTGGCTCATGTAGACCTGTTGGTGGACATCAGCATCTTCTTCATTGCATCCATTGTTCTGAGATGTTAATGGTGTGGATATGACGACTGATCTGCTGAAACGAAACAATTATCAGAGCAAATATTTCAGTATTTGGACTGCGGCTCTCAGAAAGTAGCAGGATGTCTCAGGGTGATGAGTGAAATAAAAGGAAAAGCTTCACATCTTTATTCACTCAGTAAACAACGGACGGAAAAACTTTCTCTTACACGTGAATGCATCCCTTTTCCATGTTTTATTGTTCCTGACGGTTAAGCTGCGGCGCCATAAACCACGTCGTACAAGTTCGAGAGCATCACTGCGGCACTCCCTGAGAACGGCACCTGATTTGTGGGGAGAATTTATCACACAAACAGCCCAGAGGTGATTTCAATATTTACTCTGCAGTCTGTTCTGCATACGTCTCATTTGGAAAACAGTTGACTCTTGCCCATTATACACAAATGAAGGCTGACCTTCAGACTGGGCAGAGGCCACATTCATTATGTGAAGAAGTATCACCTTCTTATGAGGCAGTGGCGTTTTTGTCCCCCCCCCCTCTCCTTTTCTGCTTATGCATATGGAACAGCAGCCTGGGCCCACTGCAAACGAGAGGGCCCTCGCTGACATGATGTATACTGTATGTCAATATGGTACTGATGTATTTTAGAATGCAAACAAGGCCTTAAATTATATGCAGCTCCATGTCAGCAGCACCGAGTGACTCTCACCATCTGCCTTTCAGCTGCTGGACGAGAAAAGAAGGTGTTCCAGCTCTTGTGTCCATGTTTGTGTCCGCTTGCATCTATTAGAGGCCCGTGTTTGATTTCCACCTCTCCTTGTGCTCGTGTCTCCTCCTCAAGCATGCAGCTAATAGCTGCTTTGAGGCCCATCACAGAGACGTGACAGCTTAGCGGTGATAAACTCCGGCACTGCTTTGTTCTGCGTCAAACCTGCATATCAAGTACAAACTGTAAAAAAAGGGAGCTTGTGGGCAGGTATCTGTTTTGTGGATATGAGTAAGAACAGTAATAGTTAACTATCTTTCTCGTGTTGTACATCTTTGATTTCGTTACTTCATCTTGGGACTCTCCTGAGACGGATCTCGAGGAGCTTTCGCGCTATCTGTCCCTGCTGTTTGAGAGCAGCCTCATGAATAAAGATTTCAGTCACGTTTGATACACTGGAACCCTGGAACTACCACAATGGCAAACCAGTGCTTTATGATCTCTGCAGTGTGCTCAGCATATGTATGTCTGTAATCTCCAACTTACTATATCAATCATATTGGCTTCACGATGATTGATGTGGACGACCGTGTCAGAATACGCTACTCAAGTGGCGATCACGCTGGAAATATGAATGATTATTCAAAATGTGATGTCAATATTCATCCAGTCTATTCAGAAGTAATAATCATAAAAACTGTGGCCACAAGCTTAAGATGCATGTAAAAAAGTCTCAAAACTTTTTGGCATTTTACCACACACACACAATAAGGCATGGTAATTGTTTATTTGTGTCGTTAAAGCTGAGATAACACAAGACGTGCATCAAGTCATAGCTCACTGGGTGGCAACAGCAAACAAGCAACTTTAAATAAGGTTTTTGTGGAGTTATGTCTTTGCAACACAGTAGAATATATCCTCAAGTTCTATTTTTTTTAATTCTTCAATTTTTTATGTTAAAAAAAATATATAATTTGACATTTAAATAAATTCTATAATGTGTCATCTCTAAATGTATTTATCTAAACAAGTTCTATTAAATTTAAAACAGTTATTGTGAAATACAACAATAAAAGCGCATCTTATGTACCGTATTTTCTGGCGTATAAGTCTCTTCGGAGTATAAGTCACATTTATTATGCGTCACCGTTGACCCCTGGAAAATGTGGGTCGTGTCGTGCCAAAAATTGATTGACGGACACAGGAGCTCACGGTAGGATTTTCTGTTGCAGTTCTTCGAAGTTTAACAAAATTAACATTTAAAAACAATTATCTGTTTGCTTGACATTATAGCAAAGGTGTCTCAGTTTAACTTTTTCCTTAATAATTGCAATTTAATGGTCACTGTTTGGCAGGGGTGCAGCGGGGGTAGCGGTACAAGAACAACATATACGCCTGCTGGTAGTTGTCAAAAGCCTACAGCGCCCTCTCACGCCTCTAGTGGCTGCAAATGGTAATGCTTACTCTGGTTCGTGTCAGTATGAATGAATATTTAAAGCATCAGTCAAAAATTGCCTTATGAATATGGAAAAAAAAATATGTATATAAGTCGCAGGACTGGGAAATCTATGCAAAAAACTGTGACATATATGTTGTAAAATACGGTTCCTGCTGCATTGCTTTCTGTTTAAAGACTCTCTTTGAGCTGGATTTATTTCATTTTGTACTATATTTTGATCAAAATGTGAATTTTTGTCTTTTTTTGGTGGTTAAATCACTTGAAAATGTAATAAGTAAAATAACCGTAGCAGGAATAATAAAACACCATGAGGACACTGGAGTTGTTAATACTTTTCCTCTTGTTTTTCTTCCCCGCATCTTCCCGTGTCACATTGTATCACGACGCCTCTTTTATATATACAGATCCATTGTGTGTTATTAGTTCTACATACAAAATGCTTGCATCGTGCACTTTTATCTTGACTGCATCTGTTCCCATCAAGGAACAAATACATCAATATAGGGGCGAGGATTGCCGGAGTCTTGGAAACATTCATAAAAATCATATGCTGCCACACACACATAGGCTCATCTCATCAGCATGATAACCTGCTGTGAAGACATCCCCTGTCAGACGATGAAAAACTAACTTCTGATCTCTTAGGAGCTCATCCACCAAAGTAGATCAAATTATTCAACGCTTGTTGTTATTAAAGTCCTTTTTATTTGTGTTCTGGTTTCACCGAGGCAGGTCTTTGAGAAATGGCTTTTTCGGGTGCTGCGGCTCAGCCTCGGCAGACGTGTAGCGTGACTGTGAGCGCTCTGTCTCCTCTGCTTCCTCTCACCAGGCCTGACAGCAGCCGCGGCAGCAGCTGCCAACGCAGCCATAGCAGAGGCCATGAAGGTCAAGAAGATCAAGCTGGAGGCGATGAGCGGCTACCACGGCAACGCCAACCACCACGGAGGCGATGGAGAGAATGGAGACCTCAGCTCCAGCGTCGGTAAGGGATGCACGTTCGTACACTGTCACACTTTGAGTCAGGTGAAGGGAAGAAAAATGCAGGCTGCAGGATATTTCATTAACTGCACAGAGCCAGATTTAAGCTAAATTATTAAAGAGACAGTTCAGATATTTTGAAGTAGGATTATGTGGACAAGATATGAACAATTAATATCTTACCTGTTGTAGAAAGCTCTTTGAATATCCCCATTTTTGGAAAAAGTACACTGCGATTCTGACTGGATTGACAAGCTAAAGAAAGTATAAGGATATTCCTGCAGGAAGTCCTCCAGGCTGCAACAGAAGTGCTACAGCAAGCTGCTGCTGTTATCTGCACATACAGTAACCACAGAATTTTATTTAAAACCTACCGGGTATGCAAAAACTAAAAACTATGCAAAGCTAAAGCTAATGCAGTTTATTAAAATAAAAAGAAGCATGAAATCATATGACTATTTAGAGACTATAGTTGTTTTAAAATGACAGCGATCCATTTTGATCTTTACTCCGCTGAAACTAGCAATTAAATTCTAGTACTCTAAACTGAGGTCACTCAAAAAGTTATCTGCAACAGGTAAGATAATAAATAAACCACACTGAAAAGCTGGTGTGCCAAAATCTGCACAACTAAATATGTCCTAAATAAACAAATAGCTGAAAATGGCATTGTTATTATTTTATCTGCATTTTAATCCTTATTCTGTACCCAAAAGAATATATGACGCAAACAACAGTAAAAAAAAGAAGTCGTGCAAATGGGTTTATTGTAGTTTAGTAAACTGAAAAACAAGTTTGTATTAAAGTCAGATACCAATTCACAATGCAGGTAAATTATGACAGATTTATTCATGCTTTTTAGGTAAGTTTTGATGAGTTTTAGCCACTTTTAAAGCATTAACAATCATTTAAAAACGATTACTAGTTATTTTTAGACACTGAAGTGTTGTACTTTTCTTCATTCAGGTAAATGGAATTCATTACTAGTTGCTCAACTTGTTTTTTTTTAATTAAATAACTGTAAACAAAACGATTACAATTGCTCATAACATGCAACTAACCTACACGTGTTAGCTGCATGTCTCAAGTGTTTGATGTTTAAATCTAAAATATTAAAACAATAATCATTAATTAAATAACTGCACTTGATCTTACTTCATATTGAATCTGCTTATTTGTATAAACAGTGTGTTTTTCAAATGATTGTTAATGTTTTTTAAAGTGTTTTCAAACTCACAAAAAAAAAATACTTACAACACATTATTAAATCCCTAAAAAAGGGATATTGTATAAAAAATAAAATATTGATTTATATCATGTTAGTGTTTTTATATTTCACATAAGATGAATTCAGTGATGCATTAGGTTTTGCCAAGCAGAATTCTGTTTGTCTACTGATTTTTTTTTTTTTTGCAGTAAATTGTTTTAAGAGAAATGCAGTTTTATGAAATGTTCAATCTAACACAAAACCAACTGGAAGAAACTGTGACAAAGCAACTCTGCCAGAGCTCTTTATCAATAATAAATTAAATTAAATTGTCAAAAATCCTGATCAAAACCAACACTTGTAAGTGAAAAGTGTTGAAATATGAGGGCACAACAATAAACATGTATTGTTATTGTAATGGTGATTTTCTGTGGGCTGCATCTCACAATAAATGCAAACATTTGTTACACAGATTAGTTTCAGCTGCAGAAATTGTTTGTGCATTTCATATTCCTGTTTTACTCTTATTGCATTTTTTCAGCCTTCATTAATTGTAGATAAAACAAGCAGATATGTTTGCTTAAACAGGATGAGTTCAGAAACAATGAAATCATCAAGGAAAAATGTTAATAAAACAACATCTCTAACAACTTGCATTTCTTTTAGCAATTATCGAACTTCCTGTCAGTTTCCAGCCCAAATCCTGAAAAGGCTTAGAAGTCTTACTCATACAGCTCAACACAATTCAAAGCTTTGCATAATATTTCCAGTACGTTCTTGTTTTTGTGTGGTTTGTAAGATGGTAATTTATTGATTCTGTTGTGTTCGTGTGCACTGGAAATTCTAAATTTGGCAACGCACATTTAGCTTTCCTCGGTGCAGTTTTAACGCTGAAAGAAAAAACAAATAGCTTAATTGCTGCGTGGAGCTGTGAGCACAGTTTACCAGAGCTATCAGCTTTTTAACACCATCTAATTGAATTGCAGTGAGAGCCATGGTTTTTCACTATGTGCCATTGCAATTAATTATTAGCACTAAAAAGCAGAAGGATCTGTAATATCACACACAAGCACTTAGTGAATTAAAGAGTATGATAATGTGCGCTAGCACAGATTCATGAGCCCTTTCATAATTATAAAGCAGATGTAGCTAAACTGAAGTTTTTATTCACTTACAGGAATGAATGGCTGCGTGAAAGCATTTCTGCGGTGATACTCGACACGGTGGTGTGCAAGATGAAAACAGGATGTGTTTCAAAGCCGATTTAACAATGCAAAATGCATAAAGTGTGAGGTCATCACTCTAAGAGAATGGAGTATTAAAAAAATTGAGAATACGAGCCTGCGAGGTCACGGAAATAAAGATAAATGTGAGCACAAGTAGCAAGGCTGTGGCAATGGAGCTAATAAGAAGCTGTTTTATCTTTTTACAATTTAAATTGTAACCTTGAGTACACAGCCAGCCAAACGGGCTCCCGGAAGAATCATAATTTTGGCAAAGGGGGGGAGCGTTTCTAGGAGCACGAACCGCAGCATTAGCTTCCTGAGTAAAATATATGGCGGTGACGCCTCTCAGCCCCATCCACAATCAATTGGATTCTTTTGCTTTAATATTTACTCGCAGCGATGAGATGCTCGTCTGCATGGTGATGAACAGTCTGCCACTGGCGTTTGAAGGTGACCTGTCAGTGGCTATGGACAAATCTCTCGCTCGCAGAAATGTAGAAAATAAATCATTAGGGGCAGGACGTCAGACAGGGGCCCCTTCTCTCTGCCTCACTTTCCTCGGATTTAAATCAGCTCAGATTTATGATTTGAATTAATGCTTCGTTTGGTCAAAGGAATGCTCGCGGAGACAAATGATGTTTGGTACTGAAACCATCCTAATATTGATTACTGGGTGTCGCAGCAATCTCTTGTTTATATCAAGCACTCTCCTGTGACAGGGTGGCCAGCAGGAGTCATCCTGATAATACGCTGGAGATATATGGCCCGCTCTGCACTGCAGAGCCATGAAACACAGCATGCACGCGTCTTCTTCACATATCCACACACTTCTAACGCCTCCAATATGGAACGCCAAAATGCTCAAAATGAAATAAATAAATAAAGCGTTGTGGAATACATATCTAAGCTCATTATTATGAAAACAATTCATTTTTGTTATTTTATTTCATAATTGTGTTTTTCATTATGGCTTATTTATTTCATAATGCCACTTTTCAGCAGAATGACTTCAGCTGTCAATCAACGTCAGTGTGGGTTGGACCTTCATGCCCATTGGCTGATCCTTCACATCTATTAGGGTGTTTTCACACCTGATAGTCCAGTAGACTCGGTTCGATTAGCGATCAATATTCATAAAATTTTCAGCTGGTGCAGTTTGCATTCACACTGCACTGAGTCAATTGAGCCAACATGTTCCCCCCCTCGCCTGTGGTGGTGCTGCACTGAAGGAAACAACACAAAAACCTCTGAAGAAGACACCTATTCTTCTTCTTCTGGAAATATAAACAAAAACGGAGTGGAATCAAATTTTAGCGGTTTTAGGATTTCTGTTTTGTCATTTTTCAACAATGGACTCAGCATGAGCGGAAGATGAGGCAGAAGACCATGGAGAATGTTGTTTTTCACACAAGGTGGCTGACGGCTCTGTACGAGGTATGAGAAATGTGAGTTTGTTTGCCCTGCGCTGTCGTCCACTTCCTGCTTTTGGAGCGGTCTCCGGTCCGCTTGCGTTCACACTGCATTCAAATCGCACTAGAGTTCACTTCAACCGAACTAAGACCTAGGTTTTTAGGTGGACCAGAGTTCAATTTTTTTTGGTCTGCATTAGAGTTCAGTTTCGCATTCACATCTCCCCAATCGAACCGGACTTTCTAGGCAAACAGACTAGAGTTCGATTAAAGTGGACTAAACAGGGCTGGTGTGAATGCACCCTTCGTTTTCCAGCGGGTCCTCCCGCGTGTGCTCCTGCAAGCGCCAATCAATGTTTGGCAGACCATCACTTTTTGTCACAACACCTGTATCTTCTGAGAACGTAATCCTTTCAGTTTGATCTGCTAAAGTTACCTGAGCTGAATGAAGTTCATGCAACTCTGCATCCTTCATGACTGTTGACCTAGAAAGTCACTGCTAGCTGCTATGCTAGCTGTACCAGTGAGCAGGAAAACTAATGGAACGCCAGTGGACGTGAAGGTTCAACCCACTGACATTGATTGACAGCTGACGTCATTATGCTGAAAAGTGGCAATATGAATTAAATAAGTCGTTATGAAAAACACATTTATGAAATAAAATAATAAAAATTAAAATATTTCTTATTTCATAATGCTTTATTTATTTAATTTTGAGCATTTTGGTGTTCCATACTCCATGTATTTTGTAATTTCACACAAATATAAGAAGCGCCAGCTCACTGGAAAGCGTGACCGCAGAGTTATTTAACGTTCCAAAAGTGCCTCACTCTGATCTGATTTATGGGTCTGACCATTTCGGAGTGTGAATACGTACATGAAGCATGTTCAGCTCGCGAGCTTATTATCAAATCGCAATCCAAATGTATAAATCACCTGACGGATACAGCGTGGAGCAGACAGACGGGGAAACCGGCTCTGGCTGTCGTTTGGTTGTGACTCAGAGATCTGACTTGGGAATGACTTCATGCTGTTTTTATAACAGACTTACACCACAGCTGCTCGCAGGAAATGCACGAGCAATTTTAACCACATGGCTTAAAAACGGATGTGTTTGTTTAAACAAATTATGTTACCACGAAGACAGGGATTGATATGATAA